GCTCCTACAAAATATACCTTTGCCTTGAGCTTTTTGTTTTTCTCTTTCTTCTTTCCAAGTCGAAGCACTTGATCATCACCATACCTTCACCGTCATCATGTCATAATCTTCATTTGCTTCACAACTTGGAATGTGCTACCTATCTCATGATCACTTGATAAACTAGGTTAGCACTTAGGGTTTCATCAATTCACCAAAACCAAACTAGAGCTTTCACCGCCTCTGCTAGAGCGATGAGCTCGCTCAGTCTGCCAGTGTCGTCCTCAGCCTCGTTCGCCTGCATGCCCACCTCTGCTAGAGCGATGAGCTCACTCAGTCTGCTAGTGTCGTCCTCAGCTTCCTGCACCTGCATGCCCACCTCTGCTAGAGCAATGAGCTCACTTAGTTTGCCAGTGTCGTCCTCATCCTTGTCCCCCTCATCAGACAACACAATCGGTGATTAAACGGTGCGACCAGCTCGTGATCTATGCTCATCTAACTTCTTCTCCTCATACCTTGCATGAGCCACCTCTGCGGCATGTTCCTCGCTGCAACCAATCCCTTCATGTATAAAATGAAATCAGTTAGCAACGCGATTATATTACATTTAAAATCAGGCAACGAAAAAAGGCTTTCAAACACTCACTGGCACATAATGTAGTAACATGCTCGTTCAAGACCTGCATCTATACTCTTGTCTCCTCCCTTGCCTCCTGGCTTGCCCTCTCCTCCTCTAATGTCATCCGCCTCTCCAATCCCCATTTGTTAAGCCCAACATCGATCGGGTTACAAATACCGCGTTGTCTAGCAAACTCACGCATCTTTTCTTTGTGATGTTTAACAAATAGGTTTACGTAGTCAGGTTCATATCCCCTCTTCCGTGCAATTAGTTTCCTCTTCTTCAGTTCATCCAAGAACTTAGCTTGACCATCGTAACGTTCCCACCTGCATTTCCTAGTGCTCTGTTCAAAAGAAATATTATATCATATATGTCTTAGCAAAAGAAATAAAATACGATTTCATGTTTACCACAAAAATAACAAACCTCTTCCTACTCAACCATATGGCCGCAATAATGGCCTATTCCAAGCTCCGAAGGGACTAGGCCATAGTTAGATTTAACACCACATTCGCACATGACAGGAGGTGCTTTGTAGATTACCCTTTCTTTCTTCTTTTCCTTAACCTTCCACGGTTCTTCCGGCCATTAGTTCTTAGGACCATACAACCACTCCTTCAAACGACACTTCGCCATTGAAAACACCTAAATAAGGAGACATTAGTACATGAACACATATAGCTCAAGATTTCAACACATACACTTTGCACTTACTTCATGCTTGTTTGGACACACAAACTCCAACGTATTCTCAGGGTTTATCACAGCTCGATCTCCGCAATCGCACAGAGGAGGTTCCTCGAGTCGTCTAACTACGGCTAGGTGCTTCTCCTTAGCCGTCATTGGTGGAGGGTTATGGGGGGTGGAACCCAACGCTTGAAGCGCTCATGTGGATGTCTCCCTCTAAACCAATCGTCGAAAAGGAGGTACCTAGGATCAAACTTGTCTGCACCGTCGATCCACTGAAAGAAAAAGCACCTCTCATGGTCCTACACAACGAGATTCCAACAAAATATTAGTAGCATACTTACACAAATAACGAAAAAATAGTGCAAACAATTACTAACATTAAAACGACTGCATGTGTAGAAGCAACGAGCCACTGTGTCTGGATGTCTCGATTGAAACACGTCGGCCGGACGACCACAATCACAGTTAGGGACAGGGAGGTCAGGAGGGACGGGGGCATCTTTGCTAGACGCGTTGGGGTATAATTCTCGAGGACGACCCTGTTTTCGCTAAAACTCCTCCCGAAACATTTCTTGCATCTAACAAAACGGATGTAGTTTAACAAACATAAATAAAAAACATCACAAATAAATGTCATGTGAAGTTAACATTAAACCCTAAACCTAGGGTTTCCCATTTGATCCACAACAATGAACCCATAACATAACTACATGCGCCTAGGTTTGCTAGCTTTTTCCACGCCTTGGAATCAACCTACGGTTGTATAATATATATATTGATGGATACAATGAAACCCTAAGTGATGACGATTCTTAGGTTCAAAAATCCGACTAATATATACCGAATCGATGCGAAAAAAACAAGGAGGGGAGCGAGGATACCTTGCTCTCGAAGATCTACGGATCAAATCAAGGTTTTCAAGGTCCAATATGACGATTCGTGAGGTAGGGTGAAGTGGGGAGAGAAAACACGAGAGGAGGAGAAAGAAGAGGAAGACGCGCTCGGGCACGAGGGTTGGGGGCGGGTTAAATCTGGTGAGCTCGGCGGCCAGTCACTCTGGCGCCGAGCTCCGGCGCCAATCACTCTAGCGCCGAGCCCCTAGCAGTGTCACTGAATCGCGTGCCCAAGAGCTCAGCGCCAGAGTGACTAGCGCCGAGCTCGGCGCCAGCATGAATAGCGCCGAGCTAAGGGTCCATTTCCTGAATTCTTTCCGCCAGGGGTCTATTTGTGAGAAACTTTCAAAAAAGGGCCAAATTGTAAAAAAATCGGTCGCCTTGAGAAGTAGCGCCGCCATAACTGCAGCTTGGGTCACGCACCGCAGTGTGTGTAGGCGTACATTTGATGCAGGATTTCTTGGGTGGGGGATGTGAGGCGGATTTTTTTGGTGCTGGTGATTGGGGGCGGAGTAAAGGAGAAGCGGACCCTCCGCTGCGCAGCCGCTGGGGAAGGGGTGGCCATGGTTCCCTCGAGGTTCAGCTGGAGCGAGTGTGGGGGTACTTCTCCACCGATCAATTGGTCGGACCGCTAGCTTCATGGACTTCGTCGCCGACCAGTTGATCGGACTGTTCGCCGGTCGCTTCTACTCAATGCTCACTTCGCCGCCGACCAGTTGACCAGACTGTTCATCGCTCGTGCTTCATCGCCAGCTACGTCAGTTACTCCTCGACCCTCGGATTCTTCGTGCTCGAGGACTAAGTGGGCACACTTCACCTTGCTCCTCAGTGCTCAGACATCGCCAGCGACGCCGGGGACTCATCGCTCCTCGGTGCTCGGACATCGCCAGCTACACCGGGGACTCCTCGGTGCTCGGACATCGCCAGCGACGCCGAGGACTCCTCGCTCCTCGGTGCTCGAACATCGCCAGCGACACCGAAGACTCCTCACTCCTCGGTACTCGGACATCGCCAGCGACACCGGGGACTCCTCGCTCCTCGGTGCTCGGACATCGCCAGCGACACCGAAGACTCCTCACTCCTCGGTACTCGGACATCGCCAGCGACGCCAAGGACTCCTCGCTCCTCGGTGCTCGGACACCGCCAGCGACGCCGGGGGCTCCTCGGCACTCGAACATCGCCAGCGACGTCGGGGACTCCTCGCTCCTCGGTGTTCGGACATCACCAGCGACACCGGGGACTCCTCGCTCTTCGGTGCTCGGACATCGCCCTTGGTGGTTGGATCTTGCTACGTCTCATCGGCATGCTATCAAGCTGCTCCATGCTGTTCGGATCAGGGTGCTGATCTTGGGCAGCACGTCTAGGGTCTTGATACGTGCATGTCGGATGACGTCGGCAAAGCTTTTAGACTTTTTTCTTTGACCCTGCTACAAGATTCATTCTTCATCTTCCAGCAGGCTTGGGGACTAAGTGGGCACACTTCACCTTGCGGTGAATATGCGTTTTTCTCATCTCGAGGCTACGCCCGGGGACTGACTGCCTGCTCGGCTGGTCTTCTAATTTCTGACCGTGGCACCATGTGACTACGTCACCTACTGTCAGGCTAGGGGACTAGCTATGGGGGTACGGCCCTCGGTATCCACAAGACAAGACATGGGCCACACCATCAGAGGTGGCCCAGCCCACAAGATCAAGGCGTGCACGGCGCTGCTCGGCGTGCACCGCAAGATATTGTAGAGTACCAAATAGGATACTTTCCTTATAACCCTAACCCTCTAGAGTATATAAGGAGAGGTAGGGGTCCCTTACTCGACATCTCAATGCAATACATCAGAACACAGGATGTAGGTATTATGTCATACTGACGGCCGAACCTGTCTAAATCTTGTGTCTTGGTGCTTGTATTACCATCTCGCTCCTGATCTCGCTCACCTCTACGACAAACCTACCATCGTGGGATACCCCTCGGTGGACTACCGAGCATCTTTTATCGACAGCGAGCCAACGATGACTGAGCGTAGGCGGGGGCGTGCGGGGCTCGCGGGGGCGCTGGAAGAACGTATTCTGCTCGTCCTGGAACTTTCTGGCAACTCGGCTAAGGGAGCTAGAGGCTCGTGGGTGGTGGGGGCGGCGGATCTGGGCACTGCCGTGGCGTCGCTGATGGGGGTCGGGGCTGGGGAGGACAAGCCTAACGGATACATGGCCGCTGATAAGAGTGTCCCAACAGCGCAGGCAAAGGGCGACCAAACGCAAAAAAACCTTCATGCACAGTATTTTACGTCTCAAAAACACGCTTCAACAGAGCACGCAACCAAAGCACCCATTTTGCGTACCAGGCGAGTCGGAAGGCAAAAAATCGTCGTCTCTCTCCGCGACGCAAAACACTGGAGGTTGCGTTCGCACCGTCGGTGGAGGTGGCCCCTGCTCACCGTCGGGGGGTCGCCCGCCGGGTCCTTGACCTTCACCGTGGGGGGAGGCATGAAGCCGTTGTCGAGGTCGAACAGGTAGTCGGGGCTCGCCTCCTCGAGTACCACGCGGCGCTTCGCTGCCGCTGCGCGCGGCGGGCGGCATCTCGCACCACCATGTGCGGCCGAGGCGAGCTTTCGCTGGATTAACGTCGCCTCGTGCTTGGCCAGCAGCCGACATCGACGCATCGTCGCGCGTAACACCGACTCGCTTCGCTGCTGCGGCGGGGCACAGCGGCGGGTCTCGCTTGAGGGCGGCGATGGGGACGGTGTTGAGCGCCTTGACGAACGGTGGCGCCGCACCGCTTTGCTCAAGGGAGCCCAATGCCGCGCGGGCGGCGGCAGTGGAGGTGGTCAGGGGCGATCGGACGGGAAGAGGAAGACCACGAGCTCGGCGTGGATCCGCCTTGCCGGAGCCGAGCCGACGGAGGAGGCCATGCGGGCGTTGAGGTGGAGGCGGTCGTACTCGAGGACGAGGTGCTCCAAATCCTCGCCGTCGGTGATTTGGAGAGCAAGCGCGTCTGAGTCCTCCCTGTGGCGGTGGTACTTGACGCAGATGTCCCCGGCGTTCCCGGCGAGCGGGGCGAGGCGTGCGGCGAAGACGAGCGGCCTCTCGAGCGACAGGATCTTGGTCTCTCCGTTGACGTACGCGAGCTGATTGGAAAAAAGGGTTGCTCGGGGTCCGTTGGAGAAGGCGAGATTTGGGTCCGTGACTCTTTCACTGTAGCTGACCTATACTATTGAATAGGTATCGTGTTTGGGTTGTAGGTGACCTATACTATTGAATAGGTATCGTGTTTGGGTTGTAGGTGACCTATACTATTGAATAGGTATCGTGTTTGGGTTGTTTCTGTTGGAGACAGTCTAAGGCATGGCTTAAAGTTCTTTCGGTTGATTTGTTGTTTGAGAAAAATATTGTTCGTTGGCTGAAAAAGTACGGCTTATAAGCCAAGCGAACAGGGCGAGAACCTTATGGCCATGGACCTTCCTTACAGGTTTTTATGACCAACTTTTGTAAATTATGTTTTATGCAAGGTTCTCACACAACTGTCTGTATTGAGAAGGTCTCTGACAAATAGAGATTCAACCTAAAGAAACAAATGCAGGCCCATGTACATTATTTTCATGATACAAGACATATAGAAAATGGTAACATTATTTAGTCAGGATGGGATTGTCATCTTCTGCCTAGCATACACTGCAGAGGCCTGTTTGTAGGATTTTGCTATCTAAATTCTGGACGTGCTGCCTAAAACAAAGATGTTTTTACTAGTTAGGTTAAGTAGGGTCTGAAATTTTGCGATATGTTGGGCAAGCTGTTTTGTAGCGATGAATCTAGAGCGATGTGAAGTCATTCACACCCAGCTTCCTTCACATGTCATAGGCTCTGTTCGCTTGCCATTATAAGCCGGCTTGGTAATGTATTTTTCTCTCCCAACAAATCAGTCATACTAATCAGCACAAGCGGCTTATAGACCAGCCAAACAGAGCCATAAGCTGTAGTACTCAGAATATGTCTGTGACTAAGACAAACTTAACTACGACACAAATTTGGTTTTAGCAAGTAAAACCATAGGGCAGAGAAGGAAGGGAAGGTACGAGTACTAGCTAACTGACTGGATGATTGTACAGAATTTCAGCATGTACTTCACAGGGCCAGTTGGAGCACAACGGTAGCACTTTCTCTAATTTTCTTTCGTACACAAATACTGAAAAGCTGCATCCACGTAGCCTGATTAAATCAGTTAACTGCGCGTGTGAAGATGAGAATGTATCCATCCAGTTCTATATGCAAACACTTGCTGCTGCTAGTTCTTCACCAGTTCACACCACTTGCTCAGCGTTCACCTAAAAATCTTCACTTCTCATCTTATATAAGCTAGAGGTGTATGATGACTGTTCAGTCGATACATTTCATTGTATATCCACCAGCCACTCCACTACTAAAACTCATCACACCAAATGCGGCCAAACTGACACGATGTAGACCTCAGACACGAACATCATAACTATTCTTGAAGTTTGAGCAACAGATACATTACCACTGCATCCCAAACTACATCTGCCACTTTGCACTGTTATTATTCTCACAACAGCAGCTTGTGCTACAGACACGAGACGCACGGCGAAAATAACTACTAGAAAGTGCGGTTTCCAGCATTAGTTGGTAGCCTGCATGGTTGTACTGTTGCAGCAGAGATACTCTAAATGTCTACTAGGTTCTAATTTCTAAGCGCTAACAGCGACACTGCAAACATCAATAGGGACGATGCCGACCCCTGCGGCTGTTGTTACTACTACCACTTTCATCTCCCCTCTGTCGCCTTCTACCAGAGCTGGATCCACCACCACCGCTGCCACCATTATGACGACCACCTTTCTGTGGCGGAGGCGAAGTCATAGGCACAGGCTGCTGCCCTGCAGGCTGTGGTCTGCCAAAGACCAAGGAAAATATGAAGGGAATCAACAGGCTAATATCACTGCAACAGTTGGTTCATAGAACTGCTCTTAAGATCTAAGATGAGACAAAGAAAAAATGATGCAAGGACCAAAGAAAATTTCACAAAAACTACTTCTACAACAGAGATACTCTTTTCACCTAGATTCTCTAGGTCTGCCTCTTGTCAAATTTAAGAGCCACAGATACTAAATAAATTACATGTGTTTTAACAGAGACAAGGCATTTGGTAGGTGTGCCACACTTTTTACATCCCTCAGTTACTACTGGATAACTTTATGACTTTATGTTATAAGCACGCATTGATCGAACCATTTCTTCTCCGTAAACAGATGTATTAACGACAAACCACCATATGTTTATCAATGGACTCCCACCAACAGGTTTACAACGACAACATTGGGGACCAGATGTAGCGGGTGTTGTGCTTACGCTAGCAAATCAATGTAATGTAATGTATGCTGTATAAGCTTTATAGAATAATACTTAGGATAGAAGAAATACTTACATGTATACAAGACGGCCATCTGGTAGAACCATTGGGATCATAGTTGAACCTAGAGGAGCACCTGGAACATACAACATTGGCTGCACAAGTATGAAGAATGTCAAAGATAAACAGTAGTTAGAAGATATCACCTTCCTGTATATTTATTCTCTCATGCATTGGGATGGTTTATAAATTATAAGATTTCATCTACCTGTGCAGCTTGAGCACCAAGCACACCATAAGCACCTGCCACTCCATTTACATGTGGATTGTAAGCGCCTGCCAGGCCATTTCCAAGTGGATTATAAGCTCCCATCAGTCCATATCCAAGTGGGGTATAACTTGGGAGCAATGGACCTCCTTTAGGTACTGATGTCGTATCATCCTTCTTTTCAGCAAGAGGATTTGCAAGTGAACAATCCAGCGGGTGACCTGATGGACAAAAAAATCATGGCCTTCTGCATACATGAAGCAAAATTGACTAGCTATAGAAGGATGGTAGATAAGGAAACTCACCATCAAGTTCGTATCTCTCAGTGTCCTTTAGAGCCTTCATAGCCATGGATCGTTCTTTGAAGTGAACAAAACCATACCGATATTCATGACCAGCTTTTGCAGCAGGAAGAACAACTTTTGTAACTTCTCCAAGGTGCTCAAATAGCTTTTTCAGTTGCTCTTGAGTAACAGTCTTGGGCAGGTTTTTTACATATAGTGATTTAACCTGAAAAAAAAACGGACATTCATATACAATATCATGATACAAGAAACATAAAAGGTACCATTTCCTCATGTGGGTCCATATACAATATCATGAATTCATGATAGAAGAAACATCAAATGTATCACTTTGTCATATGGTGCTCAGAACCTGTGCAGTAGAGGAAGATTCACCACCATTCTTAGTATCTGCCCAGCTGACATTAGGGGCATTTTTATCTAGTTTGAATTCTGGGGTAGACATTTTCTTCTTAGCATACTCTGCGCAAGCCTGGTTGTAGTATTCAATAAAGCCATAACCCTTGTTTGTATCTGAACGTGGTGCCTACAATAAATATACATTCAGATCAGAGTAATAAAATAGCTGTAATGATGCACGCAGCACGCTAAAATAGTTGAACCATCCTAGTATTGTATCCATACCTTCACGAGATTAACTTTTAAAACTCCAGGACCAACTTCCTCCACTGCTTCTTTGAAATCATCCTCTGTCCACTTATAGGGTATGTTCCCAATAAATAGCCTGTTCTTAGCCTGGGAGGAAGAAACTCTTACCTTTTTTCCCTGTTATTACAAGAATCATAATAATAGGGTTCTAGTTAGTATCAAAATACAAGATACATGAATCAGGTATCAATGAGCCAGGAAGTACAAGCATGCATTCATGTTCTTTGGGTTGTAAAACTAAGTTTGCATAATATGTAGTCACAAATATTTTAAAAGGACCCCCAAATTTTTTTTGAAACATAATCTACAACCATCCACGATTCTGATTTCTGAAAATATAACTGAACACAGGGGTCTGCAACTAGTCACAAGGTTCTGTATTTCAAACTCAACAGTGGAACTGCCGCAAACTTTTTTTAAAATGCCAAGTGGATATGAGTGTAATCATATAACCATGTACTTGGCTATGTTTCAATCTGATCCATGAAACTAAACATATACAGTTTTCAACTTAGTTCCCTACTTGGGAAGATCTGTCTTATCAAATACTTGCTTTATCACATACACCCATCCTGTTGTAAAAAAATCAATATAAATAATGGCAATAATGGATAACATGAAGATCAACTATGAATTCAACCTAAAACAAACCTTTAGATCTTTATTGTTCAACTTCTGGATGGCCTTTAAAGCTAGCTCTTTAGTTCTGAAATTGACAAAAGCATACAGCTTACCACCCTTTCCTGGCATTCGCACCTGCAGAAAAGAAAATAAAAAGGAAAAGACTCCGAATTTAGAACAAAACAAATGCAAAAGCTAGCACAGAGAAAGCAGGTAGTACTCACTTCCACTACTTCTCCAACAGACTCGCAGAGTTTTTTGAGATCGTCAGAAGAGACATCAGAGGTGATGCCCCCAACATAAACTTCGGATCCATGAGGAGGAAGAGCAAGAAGTTCAGCATGACTCTCTTTTTCATCCTCATCCTTATCAGCATCCGCCATTTTACTGTCATGTTTAGCATCAACTTGACGTGCAACTTCAGTTTGTTCATACTCCTCTGGCTCTTCATACTCGACCTCCTCCTCAACTTCTTCATACTCAACTTCTTCCTCTTCATCTACCTCATCAGGATCATCAAACTCCAAATGGTCTGGTTGTTCGACCAATTCAGCTGATTTTGTGGAAGCAGCTTTCTCTGTCCACCTCGGCATCTTCCAAAGCTCAAAGTTCCAAGGAAACTTTGGAAAGAACAAAGGAACCAACAATATTGGGGGAGCAAAGTGATGATGTATGGATAGGAAGAAAAACAACAGAAACAGCTAGAAAAATGATACTTAATAATCTGCAACTGGGTTCAGCCATGGGTATCCAAGTGGGAAATGGGACGAACGCAGAAATAGCAGTATGCGCAGATGGACTGTATGGAAGGCTTTCAAGAATGCGATAGCATCGACCGCGTGAGCATGCAAAAGTGGGCAAGCAAAGACGATGCTATCTGAAGTATAATTGAACAGGCTGGTGTAATTGCAAGGTACCAACATTCCATGAGGAATGGAAGGAAAGAAAAAGGAAAACAAAACAGGAATTAGAGAACAATGTACATAATATGAGAAAAAAAACAAGACCTCAGCCCAAGTAAACAGCAAAAGTAGCGGATAATCTGACTAATAATGACAAAACATGCAGAAACTGGTCATTCTGTCAATAGTCTATAACTTGAGCAACTTTCACACTTATGCAAGTATCTTTGCTTTATCTTGAAATTTTACTTCTATGCATTCGAAAATTAAACTCATCTTCTTCCACACAAACATAGCAGCCATCTAATCGTGTTATAGTCAAACATTTCATTCGAGCACAGAACACCTCAGTCAACATAATAACAAGATACAGTGCACTATATAAACTATCGTTCTCCGTAATAATCTGTAACTGGGTTCATCCATGGGCATCCAAGTGGGATATGGGACCTCAAAGTAAGCGACTGTTAAGGAAGCGAATACAGAAATAGCAGTATGCGCAGATGGGACGGTATGGAAGGCTCTAAAGAATGCGCGATAGCATCGGCCGCATGAGCATGCAAAAGAGGGCAAGCAAAGACGATGCTATCTGATGTATAACTGAACAGGCTGGTGTAATTGCAAGGTACCAACATTCCATGAGGAATGGAAGGGAAAGAAAAGGAAAACAAAACAGGAATTAGAGAACAATGTACATGATATGAGAAAACAAAAACAAAACCTTAGCCCAAGTAAACAGCAAAGTAGAGGATAATCTGACTAATAATGGCAAAACATGCAGAAATTGGTCATTCTGTCAGTCTATAACTTGAGCAACTTTCAGAGTTACTTATGCAAGTACCTTTGCTTTATCTTGAAATTTTACTTCTATGCATTCGCAAAATTAAACTCATCTTCTTCCTCACAAACATAGCAGCTATCTAATCGTGTTGTAGCCAAACATTTCATTTGAGCACAGAACACCTCAGTCAACAACTCCACATAATAACAAGGGTCATACAGTGTCTTAGATAAACTATCGTTCTCCTCAGATCCAGGGGCGGAGCCAGCAAAGGACATGGGTGTACACATTCATACCCGAATTCTTTTTTTTGGGGGATTGGGGGAGGAGTCGGAAGATAGTAGGCATATACACTACAGTGTAATCGGATTAGACGCGAACACAAATGGATTAAGTTAGGGTTCGGGTGCTCGGTCTCGCGCAGCGGTAACGGAAGAGGAGGGGTGTGAGTACCTGGTGGGTGCTCTTCGCTTCGCCGGCGAAGTGCCCGAAGATGGAGACCTGGTCACCTCGCGTAGGGCGGCGGCGGCGGTGACGGCGTCGGTCGCGCCGCACGTGAGGGGAACGGGAGAACCACGAGAGGGAGAGGAGAAAGAAAGAGTATGCGGCAGAACAAAAGGCCGGCCCGCAATGAGCAATCGGTCAGGCAGCGTCGCTCGTCTCGTACCTTGGGCCTTGGGCCTTGGGCCAGGGCAGGGGGGGGTGCGGGCGAGGTCCGGTGGCACGACAAAAGCCTATGCGGGCTGTCAGAGCTCGTTCAGCGACGCGAAGGTATGATTTCTAGCGGAAGGAGTCCAATTTACGATCGTCCGATTTTTTTCCTGATCTACAATATTAGTTTTTTAACCTCTCTCAATTTTTGAAAACCGTACACTTTTACACCTTGGCAATTTTGATGGTGGTTTTGCTGATGTGGCGCCACGTCAGAGAAAGTTGAAAGTTTGAGGAGGTAAATTGGGTTAAAAATAGTTTTATAACAAAATCTAAATATTAATAAAAAATCAAAAAGTATTAAAATATATTTTTACATGGAAAAAAATGCAATTAAAAAGCCTAAACCTTGTTTAATATTGAAAATTAATAGAAAAATTATTTTGGCTCGAAAAATTATGAAACCTATTCCAAATTTTTCTAAAATCATGCTCTATGTTGTGGTGCCTATCTTGAAATCGTTTGAATCTTGATGGACTTAATTTTGTGCTTATTTGCTAGTAGAAGCTCTCGTATCTATTATAATTAGTCAACATTGATCATGGGAACTAAATAGAAGTGTCGGTGAAGCATCGTCAGGACCGTAGTGGGCACTGGTCCCCTGCCCTAGATAATTTTCCAAGTAGTTGTGTTAAACTAAGTAGCTACATGCACCCTGCCCCACATATGCATGCATGTGTGAATCCTTTGTTTAATATATTTTAATAAGTTTTAGTGCAATGAAATATGGAGAGTAATGTGGCAGAGAAAATCTAGATGGTAGCACATGGTCATGATATTTGTACAAATTGAATCAAGTGACATAAAAAAAGATATTTCAAGCTATGCAGCATAGCATAGAGCATGATTTTAGGAAAAAAAAATTCTAAAACTAATTTCATAATTTTTCGAGCTAAAACAAACTTTTTATGAATTTTCTAAGACTAAACCAGGTTTTAGGATTTATTTAATTGTATTAATTTTGCATTAAAAATATTTTGATAAGTTTTTGAATTTTTAGATATTTTTAATAAAAATATTTCTAGTCTGATTTACCTCCTAACGTGGCGCCACATCAGCAAAACCACCGTAAAACGCCAGGTTGCAAAAGCAAACGGTTTTAGAAGTTGAGGGAGGTTAAAAACTGGTTTTGTAGACAGAGAGGAAAATCGGACGACCGCAATAGTCAACGAGGTAAATTGTCGCCGAACAACGTGTGGGGGCCCAAGATGGAAACCGAATTATGTCACCCATAGTGAAAACACAAATTGTTTCTTTTCGTAGGCTCCGAGCGAGACATATTGTTTCTCACGTCATGGGAGACTCGTCAATTCCTTATCTTTCCTCATTAAACTGTAGATCTAGGTCCGAATTATCTGCAAAATCCAAAACCTCTCTGATTTTTGTTGCAAGGAAGTTTATATCCAGCCACCACCGTATCTGCAGCGAAATTTTGAGAGAAAAAAAACAAAAAAATCGGCACCAACAAGATATTAGTAAGGTAAGAAAGTTAGAGCATCTTAAGAGTACTCTATTTTCCTTCACAATCCTTAGTTTTTAGCAAGAATGGGAAAAAATCTCTCTCCAACCACTCCTAATCCATGCTCCTAAAATTTAGGCAGTTGGGAAATCCTCTTCCGTCGCGCGTAACTAATTTTGTGCGTAGTAGCGGTTGCGCGGATATCGGTCAATCTAAAGGTGTAAGGGTGTGGGAAAGGATAAGAGTTGAAAAAGGCTCTTAATGCAAATGTACAAGAAAGAAATAATATATAAAAGTGGTATGATAATTTAAAAATACTATAGGATTCTTGATGTAAAATTATATTCTATATTTTAGGAGTGGATTATTGAAAACTCTTAGAGATTGACTTCTTTTTCCTCCTAATATCTTTTTAGAGCATCTCCGAGAGTATCCTAAAAGCCTTGGTAATCCTATTTTTTAACAAGATTGGAAGAAACTCCTCTCCAACAACTCTTAATCCATCCTGCTAATCTTTTAGCACTTGGGAAAAACCCACCCAATTCGCGTAAAGTTAGAGCATCTCCAAAACTACTCAATATTTTCTTCCTAAAAACATAAAGTTTTACAACTGCTAAAAAGTATTGGAAGGAATGAAGATGGTCATCTCAAGAGTTTCTAATAATTTATTCCTAAAATATAGAAGACAATTTTATAACAGGAATCCTACACTATTTCTAAATTATTCTAACCACTTTTATATATTCCTTCTCTCTTGTACATTTGCATCAGGAATCCTTTCATACTCTTTTTTCTATCCACGCTCTTTCATCTTTAGATTGGCCGACAAACACGCTCGGGAGGGAGAGAGAAGATATGCGCGAGTCCGAAGCGCGCGGAATAGGGTAACTTTTTCCAATTCTAAAAGATTAGGACGATGGATTAGGAGTTGTTGTAGAGAATTTTTTCTCATCTTACTAACTACCCAGAATTAGGAAGGGATTTAGATAACTCTCGGAGATGCACTTACGCGCTGCTCCGCTCGTGCGTATCCTTCCCCGCGTGATTTTTTTCTTCTCCGACGACAGACGCCGCGCCGATGCCGAATACGACCTCCACCTTCGCGGGTGGTTCCACGTCTTCCTACGCGCGCACCTACTCTGGTTGGGCCTCCTCGTCGGCTACCTACAGGTACGGGTATGGGTACGGCCATGGCGGTGGTTCGTGGCGACGGACGCCTCCGAGGTCACGCGCCGGCGTCTCTGGGATCGCGACGGAGTCCTTGTCGGCCTTGTGCCCGGCGTGGAGTTGATGACGATGGAGCCGTCGCAGGCTCGGACGAGGTCGCCGGGGAAACTGGAGGTCGGTTTACTGCACTCGTGCCCACAGGCCGAGGAGATCGTGCGTAACGCCGTCCGCCATGGTATAGCCCGTGAGCCTGGCGTCGGCGCGAGACTCATCCGCATGCACTTCTGCTTCACTAGAGCCTGCTTGCTTGCGTGCAGGCTGCTGGTTGCCTGCTTGCTTGCATGGTACTGTATGCCTGCTGTGTTTGCTTGCCTGGTGGCCGGCTTGGTTGCCGGCTGCTGGTTCCCTGGTTGCTACCCGCCGGCTAGGAACAACTGCTGGGGATCGGCACGAGCATGGAAGCAGGCGGTGGCGAAGCCTACCTACATGCAACCGGCTGGGCAATGCCCGCGCGAACAAAGCAACTGTCGTAGGAAAAAAAGTTCTGTACGACTAAATTTTGATTTCTAGGAG